TTTCTTCTGGCGGTTGGGGCATGAGCACTAACTCTTGTCCTAGCCTTTTATGACTTGTGGCTATAGCGCCATTACTCGCTTTCGGAAGGGAAAAGAGGGAAAGGAAAAGGAGAAAAGGACAAAGGGAAAAGGATTATGTGAAATCTATGAACATAAACAATATTTTTGATTTGAAATATACAATATAGAAATGCGTAACTACCCGAGTCTTGTCACTATTATAAAGTCATAAAAAGTAACAAGGACTAAAACGTGATCCTTTGATTACTGGAAAATCTTGATTCCCTAGTTTGAAGTTCTCACGACTAGGGTTCGGTGGTAGATCTTATACCAGTAACGCACCACAAAAAGGTGATCCCCCAACGTTACTGGTTTGAAAAGATAAAAATTTACAAAATGGAACGAACTCTCCAAGTTTCGCCAATTGAACCTGAAGGCTGCCTGGCATGTGGCCACGGAAAAAAAACAAACGTCAGGTTCGAACACACGCACAGCCTACTCACATTTCAAGATCAACAATTGAAAAGGCCCGAGGGGGGCGACTCTATCTTCGATGCAGAAACGATTTTGTTTTGCTGTGCTTAACTGCACGTACGATGAGTAGATTTTAAGAAGATTGATGAAGATTTTGAAGATTTCCTACAAAAAAATGGAAGTAGATGGATTTAGATGCTTAAAATGGCAAGCGTGGCACTAGGTGAGGTTATGGAAATTTCCTCCAGTCTTATTGAAGTGTTCCCACTTCACTCGGAAATGGAGCATAAGGCTAGCTTTTTCTAAGGCCTTAAGGTTGATTAGTTCACTAGACTTGAAGTGAACTAAATACAAATCATTAGAAAGCCCGTTGCGCGAATCGCCAGGACGGGATTTCATTTTCATTTTGATTACGTGGAGTGGCACAACTCCAAGTAATTTTGCCAGTTCATCTTTGATCTGATCCAGGGATTCACCACTGGGCAGTCCTTTCATGACAACCTTGAACACACGTTCAGTTTTGGTGTCGTAAGTAAAAAAATTGTGCTGCTTCTCAGTAAGATACTTCAGAAGACATTTAAATCGGTCCAAGGTTTCAGCCAATACACGGCATTCACCCCGACGTCCAATTTGTAATGAAAACTTAACTTTCACGAAATTCAAAAGTTCCATGCGAAGAGCATGGAAATCGGTAGTGGTTATCACAATAGGGGGAATCTTTTCCTTCTTGGCATTAAGCCGGGAAAGTTTACTAGAATTTTACTTGGATGATTGATCATTCTCATCATCCGTGAGCAAATAAAATTGATTGCTCAATTGAATTTCATCAGAAGGGGGATCAAGCGATTGCCCTTTTCTTTTGTGCTTAGCCGCCATGGCGTCATAACCAAGTTTCTCCAAATCGACTTCCAAGCAGATTACTATAAGAAGGTAGAAAATTCGCAGTGAACAGTGCTGTTTAAATTTGTTGTAACTTTAGATAGCAGAAACACTTCCGTCATCTTCTTCTTCTTCTTCTTCACATTTCAAGCTTATTGCTTATCGCATATTAGCTTATTGCGTGCTCTCAAACTTAGTGTTCTAGATGCACTTCCACAGTTATTAATTGAGAGCTTTCGATACCTGTACCATTTTCGCATTAGTATAATTGTGTGGCAAGTACAATCATACTCTTATGCCCAGGGAAGTCGAGAAATTTTCCAACCCGAAAAATTCCTAGACCTGACCGGGAAAATCACCTAAATCTCGTTTCGCGGAAATATATAAGTCCCAAACACAACAACCCAGATACACTAAATCTGTTTACGTTAATATACGGTAGATTTCATCAAAAATTTTAGTGTACAAGACGTGTAATTCAGGTCAAATCTACTAACGTCACGTAACATTTGAGATTTTCCAAATATAGTACAGATCAGTTACGTGATAGTTCACATATATCGAACGTGAAGATTTTTTAGAGTGTACGTTTCCTCGAGTTTCAAGTACACAAACATGTTGCGGCTGTAACATTTCTCCGAAACAAGTCGCACCATACGTATTGCGTTCTAGAGGATTCCTCAACCTCAAACTGATTTCTTGAGATTCTCGAGGATTCCTTATTAACTTGAAATTCTTAAACTAGGCAATTTTAAATGAGTGGAATTCAAGAGTGAATTTTTAAATAGCCGTATGTCGATTTGTAAACACAGATTCAAACATGAATTTGTCAAATCAGGTAGGGTACAGTTTCCCAATTTTTTTTGGAAGTGTTAGCTTGCGTGGGTGAGCTAAGAGTTTCGACAAATTGACGTGTGAATATTTGTTGACAAAAGCAGAAATGGTAATTTGAAAATTCACTCTAGAATTACAAAATTTTGAATCATTAACTTTTCAAGCACCTCACTGAAAATGAAGTTGAACCTTTTTTTTCAAAATAATGTATTTCGGATTCTATACATTCGTTTTCTACTGTTGTTATATCTTTGGAAAGGTTACTTTTCCAACTTTTGACCAATAACCATTGGTTACGCTACATGGTTTTTCAGTAGCATAGTAAATTCCTGGAAATATTTATTTAACAGCATTTTCTGTAGACCGGTACTTTTCCATAGAGTAATTAAAAAAAATTTAATGAGGCATTCTATTAGATATGTGGAATATGGAGGAAAATATGAAAGGAGAATCAAGCGAAAATTTTAAATCACAAATTGAGATAGGCAGAGATAGGAAAACCGGGAAAAAGTCGGGATTTCATTTTCACCAGGAAAAACCGAGAAAAAATCGGGAATTTGAATAATCCACCAGGAAAATAATGTTGTTTCAATGATTTCTACAGTTTCCGGATTTCACATGAGTGTTTCAAAACGAAAAATATTCAAAACTAATCATTTAATTGCGTTGCGTTTGAAACTGAGTATTTCGTAGATTGCATACTGGCAACTGCCATGTATCTACCTTAACGTTCTTATTCTGATTGGTTAAGGAAAACTATTTAGGAGTCAATAGCTCTCAAATCAAAGTTCAGAACAGAAAAAGCATAACAATTACCATTGCCGGCCATCTTCTCCGTTACGGGGAAAGGAAGGATATTGTTGATGTAACATCTACTCAACGGGGGGCCGACGCCCCATAGATGCTACGGATTTGGATAGTTGGTTAGGAGATGGGTCAGGATTCGCTTAAGCAGGCGATGCGACCATAGTAATTGTTTTATTTTGGATGAGCTTGGGAGTAAACCCATGATCTTCTACTCAGTAAGCAAAAGTGGTAGCCACCGAGCTCGTCAATTTAAATTTTAGTACCTTATTCGTTGAAGTTTTTTTAAATACTGATTGAAACAACAATGTAAACATGTAAAAAGGAAGGTTCTCACCGGAATGATCTGTAATTAGCCAACCTTGTCGTGTTTCCTAAGCTGGATCTAAATGCATCTCTCAAATGCAGTAATATTTTTTTGATCCAAATAGCCATGGTGACGTGTAATAAGTGATCCCAATTGCTTAACGGGCTGACTATGAAATGTTTCAGCCTCTGTTTAAATTGCTTCCTCCTAAGTGCTTGATCTACTGTTGTGGCTCCAAAATTGGTTGGAAATTAGTTCTGGCGAGTTTTTCACTAAAGACGTTTTTACCAAATCAGCAGCCAATTATCGAGAAAAACATTAGAGCGAAAAAAAACGAACTATTCAAAACTAATCATTTAGTTCAAACAAAAATGTCTATGCAACTAAAAATGCAAGTTGAACATAATGATCGTCAAGCAAGGGTGTGTAAATGCAATGCGTTGTATTTATCGTTGTTTTCATGATTTTTTTATTCGAATCGATTGGATTGACGACGTGGTTCGTTGATCGCAGAATCGAGTTGACGGTTCATATATTGTGGCTAGTACTGAGTCATTGTTCAGTATATATACCGATATACCAAATCAATCCCAGTTTTAAACATAACTGTAATTCTGTTATTGAGATAGAGATTTTGGATCTTATAGTTCAGCCGGTGAGAACTTTTTTTCATATTCTTTCAGTTTCTCGCCTGTTTCGTGCTACTGCTGCTGTAAGTTTCGAGTGTATTAGCAGATATCTGCTTGGTAGAATCTACACTCGTTAAGCTATATTTTAGCATCCAAGCATCCATTTTAGCATTCAATAATAGTTTAAAGTAAGTGAAAGTCGCAATACTTTCTAATTCGAAAGTAGACCAAAGTGGATTCCTGCGCTAGAAGTAACGGTGTTCGGAAAAGTGCAACTCGGAATAATCTAGCTCAACCTTCAAAGGAGAAAAAACGTCAAAAATCAATTTAAAATTACTTAAGATAGTACTAAAATATATAAACGTCTGATTTAGGTGTAGCGCTCGAAGAGTTAAATGCCATTCTGACTAGTCTTACAATTATAATAACAGGAATTTTCGTATGGAAGTTTTGAATATGGACTACCTGTTATTCTTATAAATGTTCTGAAACAGCAATATTTCAAGAAATCGTATAGTAAAAATAATACCTCAATTACTGAATAATATCCCGGGAAACCTGGAATGGGACAAAACTAAGATTTCGTAAAAAAAAAGACATTTGGCACCGTGAAGCGGAAAGCAAAACGCCACAACAAATAAGCACATTGAAAAAAAAGAAGAAAAAGGTAAAAATTAGTGAGCTCGATCCTGGACGCTCGAAACATCTCAACATAATGCTTTTGGTAAACTTCTATTAATTTCGCATTCCCTTGATTTGCCTGTATTTTTGAGTCGCATTGAAGTTTAATTGATTAACATTTTAAAATATTGCATGATAAGATGGCTGTAATAATAATACTCTTCCAACGATTGGCGCATCCCCTTTACGCATTGTACGCAGACAAAGTATGTCTACATAATTTGAACTCCATTTTGCATTGAACGACTCGTATATTCATCCAACCAACCCCCGCCCCCTTACGTTTATCGACTATTCGACCGCCTATCACCTGTATACCTCCCCTGAAAAATCAAATGAAACCGTGATTGTACTGAGAAAAATAAAATCCCTGCAATATATAAAATTTCCAGAATCTTAAAACCATTGCACTGCATGAGGGCGATATCCTTAACCTTAAACAACAGGTAAGTGTGATTTTATGCCTACAACACTGTCGTAACTCTTTTTCTGTCTCTATCTTTCCTATTGATGAACCATTTTTAACAATCCCAATTCCGAATATTTAAAAAAAACCAAAGGTAACAGCTAAATCCCTCCTTGGAACCACCCTTTTACTAACTGAAAGCATCCCAATCCCTCTGCATAAACACGTGTGTTGTGTGCATTTGAGCTGTTTTGTTTCCCACCACCCACAAGATCACCGTTATTTGTTCTTTATGGTGTCGATTGTGATATGTCCTCTACCATGCGTCATAAACGTACACTTGAAATGTCGAACACACTGCCATCAAGGAAAACAAACATCTATACAACAAACTGCACCATTATTCCTATCACTTGAACTTCACGTTTAAATTTAGTTGAATTCAAACACACTTTTGGAGTAAGTACCAGTTCAAGACGTCACCTACTCGAGGACCACTGCACACGATGTTTAGTAACCCCTAAATCTCCCTGTGAAAATCTTCTTTTTTTTCTCTCGAAATGGTGGGGTTTTTCTCGGTTTTTCCTGTTTACTCGAAAATTAAATTCAAGCAACTTTGTACCATCTGATAGCATTTTTTCTCCAAAATAAAAAAAAATATCAAACAGCTCATCAAGTACCAGCAAAGTTGCAACGAGGCGGAACTGTTGGCCGAGCGGATGAAGCAAACCGAGCGGGAGCTGGCCAACATCAAGAAGGAGGCTAACAACTACCAGAACATGCTGCAGCAAAGCCAGGCCCAGTTCGCCACGCTGGAGAAGAAATACGGCCGGGTCAAGAAGATTCTGCGCGACTATCAGCACCGGGAGCGGGATATGGTGAGTTGCGTGCTTCACTTATTCGGAACTCAATTTTACCAACATTAACTATGCTTGCAGATCCAATTCCAAGAGTACTACCTACAGCATCTGCAGGAAAAGGACACCGAATACAACGCCCTGGTAAAGAAGCTAAAAGACCGCGTCATCCACCTGGAACAGGAACTTCAGGAAACCCAACGGAAAGCCGGATTCCCAGTGATACTGCCCTACGACAGCACCAGCCTGAAGTTGACCCCGCAGATGAGCCGCAAGCAGCCACCAAAGCCCGTATTTCAGAAGCTGGTAACCGAACTGTCCGACACGGAGTTTTCCGACCTATCGCCCGACGGGGAAGGTGAAGACGGAAAGACAGCCACCGTGGAAAGAAAACTTCCCACCCAGAAGGACGACGAGCTGGACACGGCCATTCCCCAGCACGAATTGCTGGATAATTCGTTGAACAAGGGCAAAAGCGATTTGGTAGCCAGGGGTGGTCTGTCCAAAAGGAGTCTTCCCGGCAAGAAGAGTCACAGCAATAGCGGCTCCGATTGCGCGTTAGACGAAAGCGAGGATGAAATTACCGATTCCACCTCGGTATCCCACGAGTATACTGGGCTCTACAGTACTCCGCAGATCATCAACAGGCAGCTGAACAGCATGAAGAACGGTCAGGAGAATTCCGGTCTTCCGGTGTACGCTCAGGTGAACAAAGACCGCGGCGATCACCACCACAATGCCGGCCAGACGCAGCACACAACCATCCCGAACATCTACCGAAATCCCCCGTCGGACAACAACAAGCTCAACTCGAGCTACGGTTCCGATCTGAATGCTTCCTCGTACGACAGCGATCTCGGCTCGTCCACCGATAAGCTAAAGGACAGTGGAGTGTCGAGCGAAAGTTGGATGTATCCATCCAGACGGCCTAAGGGACTGAAGGGCATAACGCCACCGATGCTAGCGGAGCAGCTCAAGGAACGACTGGCTGAAAGGCGAACCCTGGACGATGGCTCCTCCCGGGACTCGAGTGACGATTACTCGGAAATCAACCAGCGACACGTCAGCCCTGCCGTTTCGCTCTCCCAGAATCTGCTAGTCGAAATCAAGAAAGCCGTCAACGAAGCACAACCGAAAGGTAAGACCCAAACTCGACCCAATCTGCGTGTTGTGTTCTCTCAGTGTGCGTTTTATATAAGTGCCTAATATGCTTCGATCAAAATTTTGCAACCAACCCATCTCGGAATTCAAATCAGCTACCCTAGCGATAGGCGTTGTGTGATGCATCATTCATTAATTTGTCGCTAACCGTGATACATATTCGCCAGTAGAGAGAACCAAAAGATAATTGTAGTTCTTTTGGTGTTTTTTCTTTCTTTCTTTTTCCACTTTCTCCTTTCGGAATGCGGACGATGCAGTGAAAAACATTCTTCCACAAAATCTATCTCCTCCAGGAAGTAGCAGTCCGTGGCAGCAACAGCAGCAGCAACAGCTGCCAGCGCAGTTGGGACAATCCGGAGCCGGATCGCAGGGGCCACCGTCGCCGTCGAGTGTCTCCAGTGGTTCAACGTCACCGGGGGCGTACTCGCCGAGTCGGACGTTGGACCTCTCGGGGTCGACGTCGAGCTTCTCGAGCGATCGCATCCGGGACTCGCACCAGTGGAAGAGCGGACCCGTCGAGGAGTGGTCCAACGAGCAGGTGAGTTTCTACACATTGTGCTTTGCAATTTCAGCAAATCAAAAAAAAAATCGGGACGAACTACAACTCCTCTGATTTGAAAATAACCGACTCCGACTTCGATTTAAGCAAAATGCAAAACAAATTTACTTCAATGACTTTCCGGTTTTTGTTTTTGTACATTTGGGAAAAGATCAGGAAAATATTTAAATAGCGGCTTTGGCACTTTTGTTTTACCTAACCTCCTTTAGCGCTGATTTTTTGCATGCAAGTGCATCATATTTCAGAGCATCGTTTTGCCCTAAGACTTCATTTACCCCCTGACGACGATTGGTTAAGAAATGCGGAAGCCGGCATTTTCGCTATTTGGAAATTTACTAAAGGGTGTCCACGATGAAATTGCCACACACAAAATTGATTCGCAAAATTCGAGTTTTCATCCGATTGCCATCAAATTTTCAGGGATTGAGAAATAACTATTAAACTTCATTTTACCATTTTACTCGTATTTTATTTACAGTCCATACGCAAATGCCCGCACCTTGGCCTTAACCCCGGCCATAAGATTCTGCACAACCTTTGAATCAACCGTTTTTTGCATGTAAACCCATACTTTCTTCAGTTCCTCGACTGTCTTCACTACCTTAGGTCGTTTAAGAAGGTGCTGCTTCATAATAGCCTAGTACTTCTCGATGGGGCGGAGCTCCGGAGTGTTGGGAGGGTTGAACATTTTCGGCACGAAATTGACCTTATTGTCCGCATACCACTTCAGCACGTCCTTGGAGTAGTGGCATGAGGCCAAATCCGGCCAGAAGATTGTTGGGACGTTGTGGGCCTTCAGGAGAGGAAGCAGCCGCTTCTGGAGGTACTCTTTTATGTACACCTGTCCATTCATCGTGTCCTGGGTCACGAAAGGTGCACTCCGCTTCCCGCCATCTGCACGCTTGCCAAACCAGGAATTTCTTCGCAAATTTTGACATCTTCTGAGTGCGGACATGCTCCGGAACGCTGAACTTATCCTTGGCCGTGAAAAACAGGTTGCCGGGGATCTGTTTGAAGTCGGCCTTCACATATGTTTCGTCGTCCATGATGCAGCATTCAACTTTCGTCAGCATGTTGAGGTACAACTTCCTGGCACGGGTTTTGGCGGACTTGTTCTGCTTCTCGTCGCGATTAGGGGCCTTTTGTACCTTGAACGTTCGAAGCCCAGCCTTAGTTTTGGCCTTCTGGACAAAACTTCGGCTTAGGTGCAGCTTCTTAGCCACATCCCTAACGGAGGCGTTCGGATTTCGGTTGAAGGCCCCAACTACGCGGTTGTGATTTTTGGTGTTGTACGGAATACTTTTTCCTTCACTTCTGGGCTTCCGATCGGTGGTCAACCGTTCCTCGAACCACTTAATCACTCGCGACACCGTGGAATTCACGATTCCCAACGTTTTAGCGATGGAAAGATGCGAGAGATCCTTGTTCTCGTGATGAATGCGCAAGATTTTATCACGCACGAGCTGTTCTTTCGACTCCATTTCCGCGAGTTTTGATCACAGGACTTTAAAACTTGCAGGATGTAAATAATGCACTATGAACTAAATCCACCCAAATTTTCATTAAATTCTACCCAACGTTTAAAAAGTTAGAGCAATTTCATAGTGTGGCAATTTCATTGTGGACACCCTTTAATTGATCTTTTGAAGATATTTCAGATATTTTCAAAGAAATTTACAAATTCAAATACTTGTATGAAAATTATTTGAAATACATAAACAAATTGTATAATAATCTTACGTATTTTGTTAAAAAAAATCCAAGACTTATTCTTTCAAAATTGCTGCAAAACGACAGTAGTCATCAGACAAAATTCAAAATTTTCGCTCCACAGTGCTCAAGCGGTTCCAAATGGAGTTTTGATAAGCCTCCCAAAATTTGAACTATTTTGGTAAGAAACTAACTTGGCACAAACCATTTGAAGATTATATGCAAATTACTATTCTAGCCTTTTACCATATTGCACTGCTAAAAAGTTCTATTATTTACTATTTTATGTGAAATTTTCTTCAAAGCTACAACTTTGCAGAAAATCGTTTAAATTTTGTTCAGAACTACTCTGAAGTTCTCCTCAAAACTACTCTGAAACTCTCCTCAGAACTACTCTAAAGTTCTCCTCAGACTTACTCTGAAGGTTTCCTCAGAACTATTCTGAAATTTTCCTCAGTATTACGCTGAAGTTCTCCTCAGAAATTCTCTGAAATTTTCATCAGCATTACACTCTTCAGTGTAATGCTGATGAAAATTTCAGAGTATTTCTCCTCAGAAATACTTTGAAGTTCTCCTCAGAACTACTCCGAGCTCTCATCAGAATTACTTTGAACTTTTACTCAGAACTATTCTGAAGTTCTCCTCAGAACTACTATGAAGTTCTCCTCAGAACTACTCAGAAACTCTCCACAGAATTACTCTGAAGGTCTCCTCAGAACTACTCTGAAGTTCTCCTCAGAACGTTTTGAAACTCTCCGCAGAACTACTCTGAAGTTCTCCTCAGATTTATTCTGAAACTATCCACAGAAATTCTGCTCAAAGCTACTCTGCAATTTTCCTCAGAATTACGCTGAAGCTCCCCTCAGAACTACTTTGAAGTTCTCCTAAAAACTGCTTGGAACTCTTCCTCAGAACTACTCTGAAGTTCTTCTCAGAATTACTTTGAACTTATCCTCAGAAATACTCTGAAGTTTTCCTCAGTATTACGCTGAAGTTCTCCTCAGTATTACGCTGAAGTTCTCCTCAGAAATACTTTGAAGTTTTCCTCAGAACTACTATGAAGTTCTCCTCAGAACTACTCAGAAACTCTCCACAGAATTACTCTGAAGGTCTCCTCAGAACTACTCTGAAGTTCTCCTCAGAACGTTTTGAAACTCTCCGCAGAACTACTCTGAAGTTCTCCTCAGAACTACTCAGAAACTCTCTACAGAACTACTCTGAAGGTCTCCTCAGAACTACTCTGAAGTTCTCCTCAGAACGTTTTGAAATTCTCCGCAGAACTACTCTGAAGTTCTCCTCAGATTTATTCTGAAACTATCCACAGAAATTCTGCTCAAAGCTACTCTGCAATTTTCCTCAGAATTACGCTGAAGCTCCCCTTAGAACTACTTTGAAGTTCTCCTAAAAACTGCTTGGAACTCTTCCTCAGAACTACTCTGAAGTTCTTCTCAGAATTACTTTGAACTTATTCTCAGAAATACTCTGAAGTTTTCCTCAGTATTACGCTGAAGTTCTCCTCAGTATTACGCTGAAATTCTCCTCAGAAATACTTTGAAGTTTTCCTCAGAAGTACTCTGAGGTCTCCTCAGAATGACTTTGAACTTCTCCTGAGAACTACTCTGAAGGTCTCCTCAGAACTACTCTGAAGGTTTCCTCAGAACTACTCTGAAATTTTCCTCAGTATTACGCTGAAGTGTAATGCTGATGAAAATTTCAGAGTATTTCTCCTCAGAAATACCTTGAAGTTCTCCTCAGAACTACTCCGAGCTCTCATCAGAATTACTTTGAACTTTTACTCAGAACTACTCTGAAACTCTCCACAGAACTACTCTGAAGTTCTCATCAGAACTACTCTGAAGTTCTCCTCAGAACTTTTTGAAACTCCTCAGTTCTCCTCAGATTTATTCTGAAACTATCCACAGAAATTCTGCTCAGAACTACTCTGCATTTTTCCTCAGAATTAAGCTGAAGTTCCCCTCAGAACTACTTTCAAGTTCTCCTCAAAACTACTTGGAACTTTTCATCAGAACAACTCTGAAGTTCTCCTCAGAACTACTCTGGAGTTATCCTCAGAACTGCTCTGAAGATCTCCTCAGAACTAAGTTCTCGTCAAAACTACTCTGAAGTTCTCCTACAAAACTACTCTAGAGCTTCGATGAAGTTTCAACATTTTCCTGAAATTCTCTAGAAGATCTTTAAACTTTTCCGATAGTTGGGACTTCCCTAAAGATATCTTTTCTCCCCAGAAGTTCTTTGAATTTCTCAATAAATTAGAGTTCTCTGGACCTCCCTAAAATTCACGGAACATTCCTCCCAAAGTTTTGCTGATATTTATAACCCTCCTCCAAACCTCTCGATATTTCCCCACGGTTCAAGGTACTTCTTCAAAGTGCTCCCAATTTTTTGAAGTTTATGCAAATTCAGAGACGATCACTGAACTTCGGAGAATTTCAAAGCCCCTTGGATATTTTTACAAGGATTCAGATTGATTGATTATTCAGAAGACCTTCTACTGATCAACTATCCAATCATATAATCCCTCACACATTTCTTCACTATGACAGCGGAAGCAGAGATTATACAAATAACCGTATGACTTCATGACGATTAGTTAGGAGTACTCTGTAAACAGTCAATAAGTCCGGGCGTTTCAAGTTTTTATTTTCCCCGTCCGAGTTCACCGTGAGTTGCAACCTAAAAATAATTATAGTCTATAAAAAGAACACGAAGGCCGGGAAATGACGTGTTTTGATTTTGCTAAAAAAAAGTCTCTGTGTTTTTATGGTTTTTATCAATTTGAACGATTAAAAAAAACTCTAAAATTGATGGTGTAAAAAAAAAGATCTTATTCCGGATTTGTATCTGAAGGACGAAAAGTGGAAGAGGCTGATAGGCAAACAGAAGGTCATCAAGATGGAGTGAATCAAGCGGGCCGCCATCCGGGAAGTTGAAGCATTTGAGTAAGGGTTGGTCGCCGGTAAGGGCCAGTAAGTGCTGCCAGCAGATGAATCAAGAGGTATTCGAAACAAAATTGGTAAGAAATGTCCATTCAAATCGGTTTAATACAGTTGAACAAATTTCAAAACTATATACGTGCCAGATTTGGAAATAATATTTTTCGAATCTGGAAGTGTGTTTATGATACCATTATCCATTTGATAAAGGTAGAGTGAACATGCGGGGCTTATTGTAAGTAAAAGTGACCTCGGAGTGGTCGTGAATTACCAGGCATTCTGAAATGGGTCACTGGAGCTGCAATAGAGCTAACA